CAAGAAAATGTGGTATTAGCAAAAGGATTTAAGATCATCAGAAATGAGCAGAGTCCACAAAGATATAAAAAGTAGACTTGTGGTTGCCAAGTGGGAACAGAGGAAGGGAAGGGAAGGACTGGGAGTTTGGGAGTAGCAGATGCAAACTACTATGTATATGACAGATAAACAACAAGGTCTTACTATGTAGCACAGGGAACTATATTCTATATCCTATGATAAACTATAATGGAACAGAATATAAAAAAGAATGTACTGAATATATACACACACACACATATATATATTCAACTTATTCAATTTGTTATGCAACAGAAATTAACACTGTAAATCAACTATACTTCAATAAAAATATTTAGAAAATAAAAAAAGAAGTAAACAGAATCCAGAAACAGATCCATACATAGGATGCTAGTTGATTTCCCTCAGAAGTGCTAATGCAATTCAATGGAGAAAGCATATTCTTGTCAACGAATGGAGCTGACAGGTACGTACCCAAAGGTAAAAATCACAAACAAGGCAAGTGTATGCTCTTCTACTCACAATATTTAGATTCCACTGCTAGCACAGAATACTAAGACCCTCAGACATAGAAATTCTTAGCTTTAGATTAGGCCTAATAGAACATACTTTGTCCTTTCCTGAATGGCAATAATTACACTGAAATAAAATTTTAAAGCTGATCCAAAAGGAAATTACTGATATAAGAAACAAATACTTTGAAATCCTAAGAGAATACTATAAACAAGCTCATAAAAATACTTTTAAATAAAAATGAACAATTTTCTATGAAAATGTAATGATGAAAGAAAAAAATACAAATCCAGCATAGACTTATGACCAATAAATACTAAAAATCTTCATGCAAAAAGTCTTCACAAGGCCATAATTCATAGATAAGCTTCACAAAACCTACACGTAACACAGTTTTCTCATCTAAAATATTATTAAAGGGACAGGAAAATGTCCCATTTCCTTTCACGAGACTATGACCATGCCATGATACCATAATTGGACATAGAAACAAAAGGGTATGTGTAATACAAAAATAAAAATCCTAAATACAGTACTAGCAAAAAGTCCTAGGAAAACATGTAAGAAGTAACTTACCAAACTTATTAGCAATTAAGGTCTATACAGGGATTCTAGTACGCTGCTGCTGCTGTTGTTGCTAAGTCGCTTCAGTCGTGTCCGACTCTGTGCGACCCCATAGACGGCAGCCCACCAGGCTCTTCTGTCCATGGGATTCTCCAGACAAGAATACTGGAGTGAGTTGCCACTTCCTTCTCCAATGCATGCATGCATGCTAAGTTGCTTCAGTCGTCTCCAACTCTGTGTGACCCCATGGACAGCAGCCCACCAGGCCCCTCTGTCTGCAGGATTCTTCAGGCAAGAATACTGGAGTGGGTTGCCATTTCCTTCTTCATCTATGGTATCATATACAGAAAAAAGGACAGGAAAAGTTCACAGGAAACCATTAACACGCTAAAGGGTAACTGTGGTTGATCACCTCTTGGGACCTGGAGGAGTGGTGGGTGTGCAAACAGGGGCCTTATCTACCTTCCCCACAATGTGCACATGGTGCTTTCAAGCAAGCACAAAGTCCGCAGTCCTACTAATGTGTGAACAGGAAGGTGTAAGACGGGGGGAGGGAGGGCCAGTGGGGAGACAGACAGGATGGAGAGGTGGCTGGCGAAATCATGCTGTGCAAACCAAAAGCTTCCTTGACCCTACGTGACTTTCTGGTCTGCAGGAGTGGGCCTGCACTGCAGGGACCAGACATCACCTAACAGAGGCACGTGTATGCCACAGCTCTCACAAGCCACCCCTGGGACGAGAGGATATTGCTTCCCTATGTATGTCTGGGCCCAAGAGGCGAGACACAAGCAAGGCAAACTGTTTGCCTGTGTGGAATTAATAAAGCTTAACATAATGAAGCCTAATTATCTGAGAACTTATTCTCAGGCAAGACTTTAATACATATTTAAGAGAAATTAGGAGTGCCTTAATTTATATAAAGGTCTGTGAATATTTTAGGAAAAGAAATAGAATGGTATGCTAGGAAATCTTTATTTTTAATTAAAATGACTAGTGTCACTATTTTTAAAGCAAATTCATCAACTGAATTTATATTATCTTAACTGACCACATGGCAGCAGCAAAGGCGATTACTTAAACGACTGAAGACTGGCCAGGAGTCTGTGCGGCAGGCCCCCAGCAGGCACTGGGAGGGCCGGGGCTGGTCTCAGGCGGCAGGCCGCACTCAGGCCTCAGACCTCACGTTTACAAGGGGCAAGGGTTTGGCCCTCGCTGAGCGGTGGGCTCTGCTACTGTGTTAGGCCTCCCTTCAGCGGCTGTGATGGAACCATCCAACAGATTCAAAAGAATTACTACTACTATACCATCAAAAATCTCTCTGTTCTTTTGTGTATGAAAAGGCTTCATTGTTCTTGTCTCACTTCTTCCCCCCCAGACTTCAGTTCACAGAAAATACAACTTTTTGCTATTGAAACATAGTGTCAAAAGACAGTCAACAAAATCAGTACAGTAACTATTTAAGGAAAGCTAAGAACCTTTCAATAAAACTACTATTATCTCTGCCTCCTGTCTCACTCAATACTTCAGTTGCTAAAAAAAACAAAAAACAACAAAGAAACAAACAAAAACTTTATCATGATTGTTTACACAGTGGTACAAATAAAAAAATAACAAAAGCTCATAAAACCAGCTTAGAGAACCTCTCTCTGGTTTTTAAATATGTACTCCCTGACACGCAACACCATCACTCAAATTCCAGCCTTGACCTAGTCAAGAGGTTTGCCTGGAGCCTTTCCAAGAGTTCCTACCAGTATGGTTGGGATGCTGGAGTGGTAGAACTTTATGATGTAAGAAATGAATACTTGGGCGATAACTCATATAAAACTTCTAGAGCAACTGTATCATATACTACTTGGCCTTTAACTCTCCCCCCGCCCCAAATTCAAATTCTTTGCACTAAAAACAGTATTTAAGGTATGACAAAACTATTAACAGCAGGGACATCTGGGTAAATAGTATTTGGAAGTTCTTTGTCTTATTCTTGCAATTTTTCTCTAAGTTTTAAGTTATTTCCAAATAAAAACTTAAAAAAAAAAAAAAGCATTTTTATGTATATGAGTCTGGGCAGCTGGCTCATATCTTCACCCAGGGTGGCTCAGATGGGCCCAGGCAAACCAGGCATTCCACAAATGTCTTCTAACCTCAACAATCTTTGAGAAAGTAACATGATCCCAAAGTTTATTTGGATTTTCAACATTGACAAATTTTAAAAAATACGTTCTTTTGTATCTGAAGATTACAATAACAAAATGATTTTGATTAAAAGGAGAAAACCAATACAGTATCACTACTTACTCTATGAATGATACCAGCTGAATGTAGATGTTTAATACCACAGAGCATCTGGTAAAGAAGGTAGGACATTCTTTCATGGTCCAGCTCCATGTGAATGACCTGACATAAGTTAGCATCCATTAATTCCATAACCAAATACCTGAGGAAATAAATGATCAGCCATGTACACATGAAAATTATCCAAATTCCTTTATGGTATTAAATCAGGATTTTTATTAAAAAAGTAACAACTTCATACCTAGTCACTGTACTGGCTAAAGTGAAAAGATAACTTGCTTTTATTAGGTATCTTGATTTATAAGCTATCTTGAAAAGAAGCAATCTTTATATCATAGTAAATAGAATCTCAAACATTCAAAGTCTCCTATATTTAAAATTTTTTGCTATTGGGTCATTCTTAGCAATACAGAAACCATGCCATTACTCCTCGCATCTTAAGAAAACTTTTGACCTTACCTCCCCTACCAGCAATGATCCTATATTTTTGGTCTTCCTGCAAGCAAAACTCCCCAAAGAGGTGTCTACACTCATCATCTTCAATTTTTTTCCCCATGTTTCCTTAATCTCACTTTAATCAGGCTTTTGCCCCCACCACTTTGCTGAAACTGTCTTCAAGGCTCCTGACACCTCCCGTGTTGCTAAACGCAGTGGCTAGTTCTATAATCCTGGCTGACCGTGACCTTCTCTTACCACTGGCTTCTTACTGTTGGAGTGCCAGCACCTGTTTCTTGGCCTTCTTTTCTCTACTGTACTCATTGTCATGATGATCTTCTCTGGTTTCTGACCTCAAGGTTTTAAATATCATCTATAGACTGTCAACTCCCAAATTAATACATTCAACCCGGACATCCTACCTGAACTCCAGGCTCACTTATCTGACTGCTTCACAGATCATTTTGTGTGCCCATCAGATTCCATGTCTAAAACTGAGCTCCTGATTCTATGCCAGCCCCAAATCTGTTCTTCCCATAGCTTTCCTCATCTCACTTGAGAGAACTTTTATCCTTCTGGTGAGCATCTGAGCCAAAATTCCAAAGGTTGTTCTCAGCAACTCCTTCTCTCAAACCTCTCTAAGAGCAAACACTGGGGTTCTATCTTCAAAACAGTGTCGACATCCAATCTCGTGCCTTTACCATCAATATCACCCCTTCGGTCTAAATGTAGCCACAATAATCTCTCACCTGAACGACTACAACAGCCTCCTGACTGGTCTTCTGTATTCTATCCCATAAAGTGGATTCTCAGTCCAGAAACCAAGTTATTGTTTTAAAATGTAAGTTAGATAAACTCACTCTTCCACTGAAAGTCTTACTTGTAAAGGGAAGTCTTTACAATGGCCTAGAGGTCCAGCAGTGTCGGTCCTGCCACTTCTCTGAGCCGACCTCTTCTACTTTCCTCTGCTTCCTTCGATCCAGCAAACAGGCTCCTGCTCTTCAAGAGCACACAAAGGCACACTCCCACGTNGGAAGTCTTTACAATGGCCTAGAGGTCCAGCAGTGTCGGTCCTGCCACTTCTCTGAGCCGACCTCTTCTACTTTCCTCTGCTTCCTTCGATCCAGCAAACAGGCTCCTGCTCTTCAAGAGCACACAAAGGCACACTCCCACGTCTGCTCCTTTATGCTGCTTGTTCCTTCTATCTTTTTAAAATATAATTGTATCTACTTTAATTTTGGCTGCGCTGGGCCTGCACTGATGCACACGTTTCCCCAGCTGCGGCAAGCAGCGGCTACTCTAATAGCGCGTGGGCCTTTCACTGCGGTGGCTTCTCCTTTCGTGGAACACGGCCTCCAGGACTCGTGGGCTCAGCGGTTGCAGCACGTGGGCTCAGCAGCTGTCGGCTCAGTCGTTGTGGCACACGGGCTTAGCTGCTCCGTGGCATGGGGGATCTTCCTGGGTCAGGGATCGAACCCCTGCTCACTGCACTGGCAGGTAGATTCTTCAGCACTGAGCCACCAGGGAAGCCCATTCCTTCTTTCTGGATACTACCTTTCTCAAAGTATCTGTAGGACTAACCCCCTCATTTTCTTCAAGGCCTCTTCAAATGCCACCAATCCCATGAGGTCCTTCCCTAACTACCCCACCTAAAGCTGCAGCTTGACTCCCGACCCCAGCACTTCTGATCCCCTCACTCAGCTCCACTTCTTCCACATTTGCCACATTCTAATGAAGGACATCACTTCCCTATTTGTTATGTTGATTATCTTCCCTGGTCTTCCGTCAAGCTCTAGGAAGAAATATAATCATCTGCAATTCTTAAATAATGAAAGAAATTTTTGCCTGTTTTGGTCACTAAGTGTGTTAAGTTCAAGAGAGGGCTTAGCACACAGCTGGCAATCAAATTTTCCTTTTGGCTGTTCAACTGAAAGCATGGAGTCCTAAGAACTGAACTGCCAGGGAATTTCTGGCAATCAAATATTTGTTGAATGAATAAACCAATACATTTAGGCTAAAATTGCGCATTGTATCTCAATAATAAATTAATATTTCATTTCATCGTTAGTAAGACAATTCTATTTCAGATTTTGGAAAATATACAATATTTAATCACTTACCCATTTCAAATAATAACTATAAACACCTGAACCCTACAATCCTGGATTTTAGGGGACTAGAGAAAAACATTTTATATTTCAGTAAAGCAAATCAGCAGCATTAATGAATGGCACTGTGTTCTCCAAGGAATCCACTTTCAGTCATCCTTCACCTGTTGTAGAAATGATAACCATCTAGGGATACGCACATGCGTGCTACGTCGCTTCAGCTGTGTCTGACTGTGCGACCCTGTGGACTGCAGCCTGCCGGGCTCCTCTGTCCAGGGGATTCTAAAGAAAGAATACTGGACTGGGTTGCCTTGCCCTCCTCCAGGGCGTCTTCCCCACTGGGACCGAACCAGGATCTTATGTCTCCTGCATTGGCAGGTGGGCTCTTTACCAGCAGCGCCACTGGAGAAGTCCACAGGCGTGAGTAGTTGAATATTATTACTCATTTTCCTTACTGCTTCTATTTCATAGTGAAAAGTGGCTAAGATATCATTAAAAATGTATTACTGTCTGCATTTCCTAAGTTAAAAAAAGCAGTCATGTTCTCTTTTAAATTTCCAATCTTTCATGCACAGTGTATTACTGAATAAAAATTATACTTACACATCTTGAAATTCTTCTAGAGTTTTTTGTGGTGTAAACACATTTAACAAACTAATTATCTGAAAAGAGAAAATTAAACCTCAGCATGTCAAACAACTCTACTTGACTATAAAAATTAAGTTTAACATTAAAATGTAGTAAAAACTAGGAAAAAAAAAATCACAGCAGAGCTTTGTAATTTTATTATTGCTACTGCTTTTACCAAAACATTCTATTATACAGCATTTCAAAAGTTAAATGATTAGGATTCTCGCCTTGGAAATAAGATGCACTTTTAATCAAATCACTTTTATGTGTCCCTAGTAACTTATTATTACAGAATTTTGACACATAACGCTTTCCAGCTTTGAACATAAAAAAGCAGCAATTACAAGCAGAAAAACACTAAATAAAGCAGCATGTTAACTCTGAAAACGTAAATACAGTGTGCAAATTTCTAGAAAGTTTTGAAATATGAGGGCTAAGCTTATATTTTGGTATAATAAAGATGAAATGCCTCACAGTATTATGTATTTACCTAAAGAGGGTTCAAAAACTGACCCCATCGCAGGCTTTGGTCCTGGTACTCCAATGTTAAACAATGACTTCTGCTACTTGAGCATCAAAAACACATCCTCAATCATTTCAAATGACTGAGGGAAAGTTTATTCAGTAAATTATTCAGTATGAAAGACTGAAGACTGGAGTGGCTGGAGAGCCAAGAGGGGAAAAAAGAAAATTGGATCCACACTTTAATGTTTACACCTTTAAGTTTATTTAAGATAAACTTACAATGGAACAAAAACTTAAATCTAAGGCATGAAGCCATGAAACTTTAAAATATGGATAAACATTCATACAACTCTGATGTAGAAAAGTCTGTTCTAAGCATGACAAGAAATCCACAAGACTTGATTACATTAAATGACGACAAAAATCAGTATGGCAAAAACAACCTAAATTAGGTCAAATGGAAAAGAAATGAGGGTTGATAGCTTTAATATACAAAGATCTTCTCTAAATGCATAAGAAAGAAACCAGTGTGTGTTCAGTCACTCAGTCATGTCTGATTCTTTGCGACCCCATGGACTGAAGCCCACCAGGTTGCTCTGTCCATGGGATTTCCCAGGCAAGAATACTGTAGTGGGTTGTCACTTCCTACTTGAGGGGATCTTTCCAACCCAGGGATTGAACTTGTATCTCTTGCATCTCCTGCATTGGCAAGGGATATTTTCATAAATATTTTATGGTTTCATGCCTTAGATTTAAATTTTTATTCCATTTTAAGTTTATCTTGGTGTAAAGATTGAAGTGTGAATCCAGTTTTTATTTTCTCCCTTTGCGTCTCTTGCATCTCCTGCATTGAGAGAAACCAACAGGCCTATAGAAAAATGGACAAAGGTCATGGAAAACAAACGCTCAAGAAATAAAAATAAAAGGCTGGTAGAGATATGGAAAGAAAATCAACCTCGCAAATAAAAATAAGGCATCATTTGTCATCTATCAGTTTGGTAAGGTGAAACAAAAAAATCAACAATATGTAGTTCTGAAGTATTCTGAAATAAAAGCCATACTCAGGTACTCAATGAAAGTGTAAAACTGATAGTCTTCCTTGAGGTCAATTTGTCAGTATATATTAAAACCAGAAATATGCATACTTTTTGACCCAGAATCTTGGCCAAAGAATTCACCTGTATAAGGATGTTCACTGCAGCACTGCTTATAGTAGTAAAAAACTAGAAACAATCTAAATACTTGATAATAAGTAGTTGGTTAAATGAATTACTGTGCATTTGCACTGTGTAGCTATTTAAAAATGGTTTATATCTATGTTCATTAATGTACATGAGATCTAGCAACATTCCACCATATTTTAAGAAAAAATTTTTTTTTTACTTTTGTTTTTATGATATACTCAAATGAATACAGAGTTCCAGAGAATAGTAAGGAGATAAGAAGGCCTTCTTAAGTGAACAATGCAAAGAAATAGAGGAAAACAATAGAATGGGAAAGACTAGAGGTCTCTCCAAGAAAACTGGAGATACCGAGGGAACATTTCATGCAAGGATGGGCATGATAAAGGACAAAAATGGTGAGGATCTAACAGAAGCAGAAGAGATGGCAAGAATACACAGAACCGGACACCGGACATCCTGGAGTGTGAAGTCAAATGGGCCTTAGGAAGCATTACTACAACCAAAGCTAGTGGAGGTGACAGAATTCCAGCTGAGTTATTTCAAACCCTAAAAGATGATGCTGTTAAAGTGCTGCACTCATTATGGCAGGAAATTTGGAAAACTTAGCAATGACCACAGGACTCTAAAAGGTCAGTTTTCATTCCAATTCCAAAGAAGGACAATGAAAAAGAATGTTCAAACTACTGTACAATTATGCTCATTTCACATGCAAGCAAGGTTATGCTCAAAATCCTTCAAGCTAGGCTTCAGCAGTACTTGAACTGAGAACTTCCAGATGTATAAGCTGGGTTTCAAAGAGGCAAAGGAACCAGAGATCAAATCGGCATGACTGATGGATCATGGAGAAAGCAAAGGAGTTCCAGAAAAACATCTACTTCTTCATTGACTACGTGAAAGCCTTTGACTGTGTGGATCACAACAAATTGTGGAAAGTTCTTAAAGAGATGGGAATATCAGATCACCTTACCTGTCTCCTGAGAAACCTGTATGCGGGTCAAGAAGCAACAGAACTGGACATGGAACAACAGACTGGTTCCAAATTGAGAAAGGAGTATAACAAGGCTGCATATTGTCACCCTGCTTGTTTAGCTTATATGCAGAGAACATCATGTGAAATGCTGAGCTGGATGCATCATAAGCTAGAATAAAGACTGTGGGGAGAAATATCAAGAACTTCAGATATGCACATGATATCACTCTAATGGCAGATAGTATAAGAGGAACTAAAGAACCTGCTGATGAGGGTGAAAGAGGGGAGTGAAAAAGCTGGCTTGCAACTCAACATTAAAAAAAAAAACAACTAAGATCATGGTATCTGGTCCCATTACTTCATAGCAAATAGATAGGGAAAAAATGGAATCAGTGACAGATTTTCTTTTCTTGGGCTCAAAAATCACCACAGATGGTGACTGCAGCCATGAAATTAAAAATGCTTGCTACTTGGAAGAAAAGCTGCGACAAACCTAGACACAAAAACCTGCATATTAAAAAGCAGAGACTTCACTTTGCTAACAAGGGTCCATAAAGTCAAAGCTATGGTTTTTCCAGTAGTTATGTACAGATGTGAGAGTCTGACTATAAAGAAGGCTTATCACCAAAGAACTGATGCTTTCGAACTGTTGTGCTGGAGAAGATTCTTGAGAGCCCCTTGGGCTGCAAGGAGATGAGACAGTCAATCCTAATGGAGATTAACTCTGAATATTTATTGGAAGGACTGATGCTGAAGCTCCAATACTTTGGCCACCTGATGCAAAGAGCTGATTTATTGGAAAAGATACTGATGCCGGGAAAGACTGAAGGCAAAAGGAGAAGCAGAGGAAGAGATGGATAGACAGCATCACTGACTCCATGGACATGAATTTGAGCAAACTTTGGGAGATAGTGGAGGACAGAGGAGCCTGGAGTGCTGCAGTCCATGAGGTCGCAAAGAGTTGGATATAACTTAGCAACTGAACAACAAGTATAGCATGCACTGGAGAAATTAAAAACAAATTCATATCAGAGACTCGAAAGATTGAAATTATCTTAGTTTTTTGTCCCTACACCAGAAAAATCCAGCAGAAATGTCACAACAAAAGGAGCTGAGTGTGATCTTAAGATAATTATCCCCTCAACTCTGCAACAAAGAGAAGTCAGATGGGAGGGGGTCTCCAAAGTCCCTTCTAGACTTACCATCTTATAATCTTAGAACATGGCAAGGCTATCAAATCATGTTCCACATAATACTCAGGGATCAGCAAAAGAACATGAAACATGACAGAGTACCTCATTTTCGAGAGATATACTGTTTTTCCTTACAATGTACAATGCTTTGATTTCTGTGCCAAGAAGAACTACCTTGATAAAGCATCATCTAATAATTATTTCCATAAATATGAATATGTAAAAGCTACTTATGGAACAGTGTTTTCCTAAAAAGTATTTAGCTATTTCTCAATTGGTCAGGTCAATACTCTTGCCACTTTATCACACTGAAATAGTGAAAATCAAACGGTAACAAGGACATTCCCATTCCTAACGAGTGACTTAAATTCCTATGGACCACAATTCCTCTTGTTGACTCAATATCCCCAATGTTGATTAATAATTTTATCAATAAAATATAAACGTTTAAGTAGTACTTTTATCACTAGCTTACCCTGGGTCTAAACTCATTGTATCTTCAAAGACCCAGAAGATTATCATGTATCATTGACAACATTAAAGTATACAGAGGAAACACAGACATTACTTACATTTTTATGATTGACACATTTTAAGAGGACAAGTTCACGATATGCTCTCTTTGCATGAGTCTGATTCTGAAAAGGACGGCTTAGTTTCTTGACTGCAACATTTATCCCAAGAACTGTATCAAAAGCAGCACTATAATTAAGAAATATAATAAGTAACCCATTAGGATAATTCTGGAAAATACAGCAACTGCAGAATGTACATCCAATGTGTTATCTTTCTAACTGAATAACAAATAAGGAAACATCTGCTTGCTTTCACTCAGGGCACTTCTGCACATGAAGAACAAAGTGAGTGGGCTAACAGTGCAGGATGAACTGACTCCTTTCAGAGGCACCAACCTGGCAGCTGCAGCTAGGATGGGATTCAGCAATCCTTTGCACACTGACATTGCATTATGTTAGTTGAGATTACTATCTTCAGAACCAGGTAATTTGATATAGAGCACATGAGACTGGTCAGGAAACAAAATCTTCAGTTTAAATATGTCAGTAAGTTGAAAAAACTCACTGGTATCACAAAATAAAATATATTTTGGAATATCACAGTGGAGAAAATGGTTTGAGCTCCTAAGAAGAATGTAATATTATAAATCTAAGTTTTGATTGATTTTGTTTTTCCTAGATGAAAGAATCTAAAAAGAAAGCAGAAGCCAAAATCTCAGCTCATGGTAAATCCCCAAGATACAAAATCCCTAACATAAGCAATTGCTATATATATAAAATTCTACTAGAAATACCTCTTAATATTATTAATACTATGGTAAGAAATAAAATCTTCTAGGGGATCTGTTTCTAGCATCTCAAGTTCCCAGCTGAAATTTATGATTCGTTTTCATAGAAAAAATAGACAGGAAAAATTGAATACTTTTTGTACTAGTTTCAAGCTAGCACTAGCATCAATTGCTGTTATTGTTACCTTCTGGCTCCTCATTGGGGGTTAAAAGCTGCTAAAGACCATCTGAGAACCCAAGCACCATTTAAAACACTGTTTCTATTTATTTATTCTATTCAGTTTATGACACCGTTTACACTTATTCACTTCTATTAATAATGTTTGCCAAGAAACTCAAACTTAATTCAATTTTAACTTTATAAAGTTGAAAGCTGTCAAGTTACTTTGGAATTGTTTTTTAACTCAGTCCACATTATGTGTACAGGTATACACAGATGTATGCAAATAAAATATTCATATGAATTATAAAATGTTAAAAAATTAGATCTGTTAAATCATTAATATATATGTGTGATTTGTACACTTATACGTGCGTATGTGTGTATATACATAAAACTGTTGTTTTAGTTGCTGAGTCGTGTCCGACTCTTTGTGACCCCATGGACTGTAGCCCCACCAGGCTCCTCTGTCCATGGGATTTCCCAGGCAAGAACACTGGAGTGGGTTGCCATTTCCTTCTCCAGGGGATCTTCCTGACCCACGGAGTGAACCCAAGCCTCCTGTATTGCAGGCAGATTCTTTACCAGTGAGCCACCTGGGAAGCACATATATATCTCAGTCTTAAGAATTTAAAAACAGACATCTTTTTTTGGACAAACAAGTTTTTGTCCAGTGAGACAAATGAACCAATTCTGAATTACCTGAGCAGACACATGTTCCCTAGTTTCAACTCCAGGAGGAGCTATCTTCAATTACTCCTGGCTTTACTTCTTGTAGTCATGTCTCAACTCCAAAAATATACTTTTATCACTCTTTCCTCATTTATCAACTTTAGAAATTATCTATTTATTCCCCATTATGAAAACTGAAGATTTAGTCACTTATCTGAAACCCCCAAGGATGCCTCAGAGCTTTTTGTTCTCATGTTATTTTTAATTTTTTCCTTGGTCACCACTGTAACTTTAAATAACATGCCTAAACTTGTTTCATCAACTTTTAAAGGAATTTCTTGCTGCCCAGTATGTAAAATGAGAATACTACACTTCATCTTCTTTTACTTCCAGCTCTCTACTCTCTTTCCCTCGAAATTTGCCTTAAATGGTCAAGCTTGATAACACATCTTTCAGTCTCTATAATTAGGTCTTCTGTGTTTCTTCCGTAGGATGTGTCTAAAAGTTGAAAATCAAGATATGAAGTGTATGTATGTATGCACATGTAAACATTACTAATTGCAGAGTAAGGATTACATTTCATTTCTAAAGATCACATGATTTGCTGTCACTCATAAAAGAACAAGACTGTTTCCAATATTAAGGTTAAATGGATTCTCTTTCCTACATTCTACCAGTTCTCAAACCTCATGTTACTTTAAATTTATTTCCTTTTTAGATCATGACTTTTTCTAGCTTTTCTACTACAAGTTTCTAATAAACTTTTTTTTTTCTTATTAAGAGGAGACAAACATATCTTGCCAGAGCCTGTCAGTAGTACTTCCTATCTTCTCAAATTATCTATTGTTTGGAATCTATTCCATTTGGAGGGGAAGAAAGACATTTTTCTTGAAGTTTCAAATGCCTGATGTGCAGCTATCACTCTGGGATTTCTTTTCACTGGCCTCCACTAATACTTGTTATACGTTCTTGTATTCTCTTTCTTGTTGGAATATATCCTAAGGGAATTTCCTTAGGAAAAAAGTGCATAGAAGATAAATTATCTTATTCTTCCTTTATCCTTGATTGATAGTTTATCTTCTAAGTTTGAAATCAATTTTCTCTTGGGATTGCCAAAGTTGAGTGCTGTTGGTTATGCACAGACGGCTTATGCCTGTCTGGTATTCATTCTTTTGCTTCCTTTTTTGTTCCTTATCTTAATGATTTATCACAGAGAATCATGCTTCGTCAATACCCCCAAAGTCCCCTACTCACGTCTCCTAACTAATCACTATTCCCATTGCCCTCCAAAGACAGTAACTACTTCTGACTTTCATGAGAAACATTTCCTTGCTTTAACCTGCTAAACATGCATCTTCAAGCCCCTGCAAACATGCATCTTTAAGATCCTGCATCATTTATTTTTGTCTGGTTTTTGAAACTGTGTCTGACTTCCTTCACCCAACGTGGTATTTATGAGATACATCCGTTGTGAGATACATCCGTTATTGTATGTGAGATACACTCGATCATTCTGTGTCATTGCTATAACATTCCTTCATTATGATTATATGACATAATGTTCATAGATATATTGGTTGTTTTCAGTTTGCAAAGCAATTACCAAAAACAAAGAATGGTCATAAACATTCTTGTACATGGTTCTGGGTACCCTATGCATGTATTTTTAACAAGTAGATAGCTAAGAGTGGGACTGCATGTTTTATTTTAGTAGATAATGCCAAATTGTTTTCCAAAGTGGTTTGTTCTACCAATTTCTAGGCATTTGGTTTTCCTGCAGTATTCACCCTGCGTCCCATAAGGGGACTGAATGTTATTTCAACAAAAGGGAGACCACAAGGGAAGGGGTAGGGGGCACTAATCCAATTACAAGAGCCCTTTAGAAGCAAAGTTTGTTCTGGCTGGCTGGGGAGAGAGGAAAGTCAGAGAGAGCTGAATCCACAGAAGGACGAGACTGCCATTGTTGCCTTCAAGATGGAGGTGGAGGGGGGGTCCGTCTTGAGAAGGAATGGGAGCAGAGTGGTCCCTGGCTGACAGACAATAAGGGAATAGGGACCTCCGAGTTACAGCTGCAAGGAACTGGGTTCTGCCAAGAACCCTGAATGCATTTGAAAGCAGATTCTTCCCCAGAGCCTCCAGATAAGAGCCTGGTCCAGTGACACCTCGATTTCAGCCCTGTGAAATGCCACGCAGAGAACCCAGGGAAGCCCACCCAGATGTCTGACCTACGCAGAACTATGAAATTACCAATGGTTGTTGCTTTGTTTACATCCCTAAGTTTATGGTAATTTGTCATGTGGCAATAGAAAAATACATCCTCTCTTCTGTATGTTTCTAACATTTTGTCTCCTCAACCTTCATTCTGGACACTTTTCTCGTTACCTATCTTTCAGATCACAATTCTCTCCTCAGTTATACTTATTAATAACATGCTTTTAAACACACCCATTAACTTCATAATTCAATTACTATATCTTAAGAGTTCTATAATTTCTATTTAGTTTTTTAAAGTTTTCATTTTCCACCCAAAATTTTTCATACGGTCTTTTATCAACATAACATCACAGCTCTTTGGAAGTTTGGATCCAATAGGGCCAATAACTCCTATGGATCTATTTCTTTTCTCTGTGTTGGATTTTGTGAATGTCATCTAATCTCCTTCTGTGACTGGTTATTTCTGACTATGTGCTGGCCCTTGAACTTGCAAAACTGTTTGCTATCTAGAAATAATTTGATAACCAGTATGATGCTGTCTTCCTCCAGGTAGAATTTACATCTATTTCTGCTGGACCTCGACACTAGCAATTTGGGCTCACCTCACCTTGAGTTCAGCAAATGAGACGATGTGAAGCTAAGCGGCAGCGCCTGCAAGAGCCTGTTACCTTCCGGTCTGTTCTTACCTCTAGCATGCAGCCCTTTCCTGGACCCCATTCAAAGCGAAGGAGGTTCACTAAGCCCCTTTGAGGGCCCCGGACTCCAATCCCTATCTCCTATAGCCCCACAAGGCACTCCAAAGGACTCTCAAATCTCTCAGCTGCCCATTCCAGAATTTTCAAATGCCCTCAATGGAAAGACCACCCCAAATCCTGGGCTCCTCTGACTAGGCTTCTCCTTTCCCAGATCCTAGCCTAATAATTTTTCATTTACTTACTATCTAGGGGCAAATGCTGAGCATGGGGATGGGCTGGGAAGGCTGGGAGACAACTAGCAAAACTGTTTTGCAGACACATGTTTAATTAACATCCGTATTTCCAGCCACCCATTTCATCTTTGTTTTCTGTATCTGGCATCTCTAGACCCAAAACCTCTCTTTGAGTTCTACTATAGATAGGTTCTCTTCTTGGTGGCAAATGTCTCATCTACTTATTCTCATTTCCTCTGCAGAAACTTGTTAAATGTGCTTTCATATCCACTGATTACTGCCCTCCTGGTTTCTTTGTTTAGGTGTTTGATCCACCAATTTACATAAGAAGTTCCAAAACATTTATTTTAGGGGTGTAACTATTCAGGTCCATAAAGACACAATGATTTGCCCAAGGTAACTAAGAACTACTGCTATGAGGATCT